AGGCAGCAGCAGGACCCTCACCGTGGTGTCCTGCCTCCAGCAGGTCCTGCTCAGGCCCCTGGAAACACTCCGGGTCCCTCCAGGATGAGCCACATCCCAAACCTCTCCCTCAGAAGGTAAAACTTGTGTGTTTTGAGAAAAAAAAATAATAAATACATATATTAGTCCACTGTGTGGAGCGGGCACGGCTCGTTCAGCTCAGGCTTTTTTTCTCCCCCATCCCTTCACAGGCGTTAAAATAATGAAAAATAAACCAGTGGCTGCTCACGCCTCCAAATCGCCGTTAAAAAAAATGAATTCCATGGATGTGTGAGGGCTTTATCCCCCTCCCGTTTGGGAGGAAAGAGGGAAAATCCCCAACTGACCTGGGAGGAGCTGAGGGGTTCAGCGGAGCCACGGCGGCGCGGGGGACTTTTCCTGGGGGGGGCTTTTCCTGCCAACTCCGCCCGGCGAGGATGCTCCTGCGGAGAGATTTGGGAAATTCGGCTTTGAAATGGGAGAGATTTGGGAAAATTGGCTTTTAAACACTCTGTGCAAGCTTCGGTGCCCTCCCCGCCCCCGCCGGCTCACCGGGAGCTCTCCTGAGCCCCTAATCCTCCCCGCGACGGAAACACCCAGAGAGGGGGGAAACTGGGGGGAAAAAGGAGGTTTTTTGGGGAAAGTGGTGAAAGCCAAGGGGGAAATCAAGGGGGTCGGTGCCGGGGGAAACTGGGGGGAAAAAGGAGGTTTTTTGGGGAAAGTGGTGAAAGCCAAGGGGGAAATCAAAGGGGTCGGTGCCCTCTGAGCTGTTCCCGAATCTTTAGGGCCAGAGCAGAGGGGTTGGGGGAATAGAAAAAAGGGGAGAGTGCCCAAAAGTAACCATCTACTTGTTTATTATCGGTGTTAATGATAATTCAATAAATAAAGCGTGAAAATAACTAGAGAAATAAATCAATAAGTATGTATTCTCCAGAGATAAACAGATATATAGATAAATAAATACGTAGTATCAGGAAATAAGCCAACAAATATTCCTGATAGGGAGGGAGAGGCATCAACAACATCTCAAAAAAAAACAAAGCCACAGATAGGTAAGTGAATAAATAAATAACCTCTGGAAATAAACAGCTTTATAGGAAAGTAAATAAAAAGTTGCACGCTGAATCAAGCAAACAACAAACGAGGATTTTGGCTGGGCGGGG